GTTGATGGTTCGAAGAAAAAGGCAAAGGCCTAGCCAGAAGTTTGCCAGCAGGGTAGCTAAAGCAAACTGACAGCTATTACGAGTATAGCTGGGTGGTAGCAGGATAGAACTAGGATTAAGTTTATCTGGGCTACTGAAGAATTTCTGACAGAGATTCAGTCCTGTTAGGATTCTTGTTTTGTTTTCAGAGGGTTAGAGAGAGAGAAAGGCCTGAGTTTGACCAGAGTTTCCCTGCGTGCTCTGCTGTGAATACACACATATGGTATTATCCCCTGTGCGCGTGCAGCACAGCCTCGGAATCTTCTGTTAAATTTAAAAAGAATGGCGGTTGGCCCCGCTCACGCTCCCCTCAATCACATAAATAGCCCGTGGGCTGGCTAACCGCCTCAGTTCTCTTCATCCGCGTAACAGCGAGCTCAAAATCTTCTGTTAAGAACATTTTGGATTGAAATCTGCGATCTAACAGCTAAAACTACTTAAATTAGTCTAATTATTGACTTGGACTATGTCTCAAACGAAAGGTTTCAAGCGTTGATCCGCTTGCCAAGGGAATTTCCCTGATAACGACGCACACTCATTGTGCATTGCATGTTTGGGGGAAGGGCATTTAATGCAGGCTTGTGTTATTTGCCAATCCTTCACCCCCCAAACAAGAAAGAATAGGGGAATCCGCCTTAAGGCGGCGTTGTACGAACGGGTGCACCCGCCCTTAGCACCGAAAACACAAAATGGCGACCAAAACCCAACCGAGAAAGTTGACTTACCTGTCTCCAAGGCAGTAAAGAAGACCAAAAAGACAAAAAATATGGAGAAGACCTCGGGGCCCATTAAGCAGCCCAAGAGAACCATGCCGAATCAAGGGACGAGGCAAAACCAGCCTCCGCTTGAAGATATGCCTGCTTCCCAGCCGGGATCGGCTGCAGCAAAGCAGGTGCGGGCTCAAGCTGGTATTGAATTGGAGCCGACATCGGCGAAAACACACCCCAAGCGTGCACAAGAAAGAGCGGAGGCGGAGCCGGGATCGGCCAGAGCACGCCTCGCGCGTGCGCAGGAAGAGCCTCAAGAAAGCTCGGGCACGCCCCCGATGCCAACGCTCTTGACGCCGACAGAGCCAGTTCCATATAGGGATGAGCCTGGGGAGGAGTTAGGACAGGCTCCTCCCACAAGACGTCACCCTCTTTCTGGCCGGGGAAGCCCTGTAAATGTACCGCGGCACCGCCGCGCGCGCTCCATCGCGGTCCCAAAGGAAAGGAAGGCGTCGGGATAGATCGTCGTCCAGCTCTGAGTCATCTTCCTCTTCTTCTTCGTCATCGTGCTCTGCCTCTTCCTGTTCCCAAGCAAGAAGGAAGAGGGCAAGAGCTGGCAAGCGTTGCTCCTTTCCTCAATCCCGATCTTCTCATTGGGGAGAGTGGGAGGAGGGGGGTGGAATCCCTCCTCCTGAACCAGGTTTTTACCAAGTAACGCCCAGAGGGCGATTTATCTACTATGACCAATCACCTCAGCCATCAACCTCGCGAGGAGGGGCTTGGCAGCATTGCCACAGTGATGCCCCTTTGATATATAGAAAGGATCCAATTTTGACTTCTCCCCCACCACATAGAAGAGGAATGCCTATGGCTTCTACTACAATGTGTCAAGCACCTTATAATGGTCAGCATAGCATGAGGGTTCATACTAAGACGTCAGACGAACTGCCTGGTGTTGATCCAACTCAAGTGGACACTATTGACACTGACTTGTCTGACGATGGGTTGGAAGCATTACATGGGGGAGGTGACCAAGAGGCCCCTGTAAAACGTACAGATGACTTCAACAGCTTTATGCAGTTACTGGGGAGGATGATAACAGCTCTTGATATTCCTGCCCCAAAACCACAATCAACTGTAGATGATCCCATGTTCCCAACTGATGAACATGATAACCCATCATCTACTTCCCTTCCAACCTTACCATATTTACTTAAATTGACCAAGGTGCCAGCTGTGTCCCCTTCAACCGCTCCGGCCGTCCCAAGGAGAGTAGATTTAATGTATAAGGTTGACCTCTTGGTGGCGAAATGGGTTGCACGCCCCACTACGCCCAACACTGTGGTGACTGAAGCTGCTAGATCTAAACGGCCAAAGAAGCAATCCATTACCCCACCTGATAAGGAAGGGAAAAAAATAGACTCCTTTGGGAAGAAAGTTCATTTGGCAGCGGGTCTTTTCACTAGGATGGCACATTATGCCACATATATGAGTGGTTACCAGAGTTTTCTCTGGAATAAGATTACACCATTCATTGAACTTCTCCCGTTAGACGACCGTCGACTTCCTAAGGCATTTCAGAAGGAAGCCTTGGCCCTTGCTAGATTTCAGAAAGATTTCGCGAAGCATATGGCGGAGGCTTCTGGTAAACTTTTTGCTTCAGCCACAGCAATACGGCGCCATGCTTGGCTCCGTGCCTCCACGTTGTCGGAGGAAAGCCGCTTGTTGGCGGAGGATCTTCCTATGAACGAGGAAGGTCTCTTCGATCCGACAACCGATGACAAGATTAAGCATTCGAGAGAAGTATTACATGCGGCTAAATACAACTACCCTTGGCAATCGGGTGCTCAACAAAGATCTCGTTGGCAGCAACCGCCACCTTACTATCATAAGAGCTTTTTTAATGGATACAACTCTGCTCAGGGGAACCGTGGGGGTTCCTCGAGGTATCAAAATAATCGTAGGGAAGGCTACAATGCGAGGCCTAGATATCAGCCTTACCAAAATAAGACTAAGGCTAACGGGAATAATAGACGTCGTCTTTGATGTTCCCCTTGCGAGTGTGATTCAGGGACCACAAGAATTTACTAACGATTTGTTGGGCGCTGTTTCGCCCCAGTTACCGATATTCTTGGATAGGCTAAGGCCTTACTTTCATGTTTGGTCCTTAATCACCACTGATAAATGGGTTCTCCAGATTATAGAAAGAGGTTATTCTATTGAGTTTGTTTCACTGCCCCCGTTGGGCGATATTAAATCTACACCGGAATCCCCTCCTTTGTTAGAGGAAGTTGAAAAGTTGTTAAGTAAAGGAGCAATTTCTCCTTTAGATCCCTCAGAGTTCAATGTTTGTTTCTTCTCAAGATATTTCTTGGTAGCAAAAAAGGGAGGTGGTCAACGTCCTATCCTTGACCTACGGGGAGTGAATTTGTTTATTGATTCACGAAAGTTTCGGATGGTTTCTCTTTCGTCAATTTTACCACTTCTCAATAAAGACGTTTGGTTTGCAACCATTGATTTAAAAGACGCTTATTTTCATATTTCAATGGCAGCGCACCATAGGAGATATCTCTCGTTTATGGTGGGCGATAAAGCTTATTGTTTTAACGTTTTGCCCTTTGGTTTAACTACTGCCCCGAGGGTTTTTACGAAATGTATGGCAGTAATTGCTGCTTTCCTTTGTACTTGGGGCATTACAATCTATCCATATATTGATGATTGGCTTTTGGTGGCAAATTCTTGTGATCGTCTGAATATAGATATTCGTTCAACACTCTCTCTTCTCCAGTCCTTAGGTCTCGTGGTGAACAGAGAGAAGTCACACCTACAGCCAAGCTGCAGAATACAATTTATTGGAGCGGTCCTGGATTCTGCTCTGCAGAAGGCATTTTTACCGGAGGACCGCTTTACATCATTGAAAACAACACTTGATCTCAACGCCATGCTGAATGACAAAATGAAAGAGATCAACGCTTTGCTATCAAAATATGCTCACAGTTTAAGTGAGAAAGCAGCAACTGTTGCTTCTTACGTGAAGGAGGCAGAAGGAATCATGAAAAAGGCTTCTTCCGTCTAACAACTTGATCTCAAAAAGAGAAAACATCAGGCACCAGCTCTGTAAGATAGCAGGCCCTATGCAAAGTGAAAATGGGTCGTCTGGCAAATGACTCGCACGGATAGACTTGAATATCGAGAATGAAAACACATTTTACTTGCTTTGATTCTTCTATGTTTATATCTCACTGAGTCATGAAGTGGCTCATGACATTTCAAAGTAATATGAGTTATATATTGCGATTATAAAATATTTATTTACAGTATCCTATACTAGTATTACGTAGCAAGAGAGAATTGGGAGAATTCTGTGTGCTTCACCAATAAAGAAAAAACAATAATATTCATTTGCACTTTCTAGAGTAAATGGGAGAAGCCATGGAGATCCTCTTTCACTGAGAGAAAATCTAAACCCTTTTTTTTTTTTTGGTCGTGTCAGGAGCAAGTCGCTTGTGGTGTGAGAGAATTGGCCGTCTGCAAGGACGTTGCCCAGGGGGCGCCTGGATGATTTGATGTTTTTATCATCCTTGTGGGAGGCTTCTCTCATGTCCCCACATGGGGAGCTGGAGCTGATAGAGGGAGCTCATCCGCCTCTCCCCAGATTCGAACCTGCGACCTGTCGGTCTTCAGTCCTGCCGGCACAGGGGTTTAACTAACTACGCCACCCTAATTGCCCTGGTAAAGACATTGCTGGAATTCAACAAAAACCAGAAAATTGCCCACTGCAACCACATGAACAAATCTTGAATACAGACAAGACCAGAGATCCTAAACCTACCCCAATAATCCCAGGGCTGGACAGACTACATAAAAAGTGCCAAAGTGGTCAGAGTCAAATAGCAACCTCTTGAAGTGCTGCTACAGCAGGCATGGGAAAACTTTAGCTCTCCGGGTGTTTTGGACATCAACTTCCATAATTCCTAACCGCCTACTGGCTTGTCGAAGACTTTCATGGCTAGAATCAGTGGGTTGTTGTCGGTTTTTTTGGACTATATGGCCATGTTCTAGAAGCATTCTCTCCTGACGTTTCACCTGAATCTATGGCAAGCATCCGACAGGTCGCAGGTATATGGCCATATAGCCCGAAAAACCGACAACAACCCAGCCTATTGGCTATTAGGAATTGTGGGAATTGAAATACAAAGCACCCGGAAGGCCGAAGTTTGTCTATGCCTGTGTTACAGGGACTGCCATATCTTGTTTTGGCTTTGGTGACTCCCAGGACCTCAGTCCTAGCTATCATGTTTTCTTATCCATTTCTGTGCAGCATAAGGGACCTGAAGGGCCTGGAGAGAATACCTGACAATATCATACAACTTAGGAAGAGGCAGAGCACACACAGGGTCATTATCAAAGAAGTGTGGTCTAACATTAATCTGTACCAAAGTGGCAAATGGCTAGATCTTGGAGGAAGTGGAAGGTAAATCAGACCAGGCTGAACTTGAGCACCAAAATTCAGGATAACAAAACACAAAACACATACAAAATAGGAAACATTTTAGAGTTAACTCCATCCCTACAGGGGAAAGAAAAGGACACTGTAGTTGCTGCAGGAGCCCGGTGGGTTTAGGAATCCTCTCCAGAGAAGCAGCCTGCACCAAGTTGGTTTGCAGCAGCACAGGAAACATTTCAAGATGACGGAGATGCAAACAGCAAGGGGAGGCTACTGCTAGCAATTCCCCTAAGCTTTGCTCCCACCATTCTCGCTTGAAATAGAAAGCCCCCTTGATGTCTCTCACTTGGGCAGGAGGAGGGGCAACCCACACAGCAGGACCTTGGTCACCTACTCTTGGGGGAAGAAGCGGATTCCTGGTGGTTTACTTGATGTTCTTGAGCAAGGCAGTCCGGGCATTGACCACAGCTTTGAAGGCATCCTCACTGCCAGGAGCCATGCACTTGTCTGGGTGAAGGAGCACCGCCAACTTCCGGTAAGCCTTGTTTACCTCGTCCCTGGAAGGGAAACAGAACATGCATTCATCAGGAGTTGTCACCACAATGAAGGAATGGGACTGGAACTCTGGCAGAAGTTGGATCACTGGACTCAAAGTTGAGGGTACTTCATACAAAACACCATAAGGCAGCGGTTCTCAACCTGGGGGTCGCGACCCCCAGAGGGTTCATTTGGCAGTTCTTGAGGGGCCGCAGACTGCCTCCTTAAGCCCTGCCTCCTCATGCACACCCAATGCGTCATCCTCAGGGTGCTAAAAAGGAATAGGGCTGGTGGAGAGAGCGGACACCCAGGGGCCGGTCTTCCCCCGTGCGCTTCCCAATTCTGGGAGAGTGATGTGCTCCAACGTCTACAAACACGCGGGGAAAGAAAGTTGGTGCAGGGTAAACGCTTCCTACTTTGACCCTGGGTGTGTGCTCCCTAAACTGGCCAAATCCCTCCAGTATTTTCTGTTGATTATGGGAGTTCTCTTTGCAAAGTGTGGTTCAATTCCATTGCTGGTGAAGTTCAGAATGCTCTTTGGTCGAAGGGGAGCTATAAACCCACACAACTGCAACTCCCCAAATATCAGGGTCTATTTTCCCCAAACCCCTCCAGTATTTTCTACTGATCATGGGAGTCCTCTTTCCCAAGTGTGGTTCAATTCCATTGCTGGTGAAGTTCAGACTGCTCTTTGATTGAAGGGAAACTATAAATCCACACAACTGCAACTCCCAAATGCCAGCGTCTATTTTCCCCAAATCCCTCCAGTATTTTCTGTTGATCATGGGAGTCCTCTTTGCCAAGTTTGGTTCAATTCCATTGCTGGTGAAGTTCAGAATGCTCTTTGATCGAATAGAAACTGTAAATCCACACAACTGCAACTCCAAAATACCAGGGTCTATTTTCCCCAAACCCCACAAGTGTTCAAAGTTGGGCATATTGAGTATTTGTGCCAAATTTAGACCAGATCCATAGTTGTTTGGGTTCACAGTGCTCTCCAGATGTAGGTAAATTACAGCTCTCATAAATCACTGTCAATTTCTCCCAACCCACAGCCCCTTCCCCCACTCCCTGAACCTAGTTCTCTTTCACTGGCTTTAACATTTACAATGGTCTATTCCTCCTCCATTACCTTGTAGCCCCCGGCTTGACACCCAGCATGTCCCAGCTGTCCTTGCTGCTGCGGATCCTTCGGATGGTGTCTGCTTGCTCTTTTGTGAAAGTGATGCTCATGCTGGCCACTGGCCGCTTCCCACCATTTTCACACAAATCAACAATGGCTGAATAGAAAGTCTGCAAGCACAAGGGATTCTAGAATTAGCACGTTCTTATACTTGGCCACTACTCAACATTATTCCACTTCTACACCAAAAATCTCCAGAAATTGTCATAGTGTCTCAAAAGCCATAGAAAGACTGTAGATTTGGTGTATGTGCTGGTACGGCTGTACCAGGAGTTCCAACTTTATTTTCTTTCTGTTATCTGTTTGCAGTCATATGGCAGGCCTCCTGTCCATCATAATTAAGCTTTGGTTCCGCCCCTTGTGCAGGGCACTGGGAGGGAAGGGAGCCATTTTTTGGGCAGTCTCACATAAGGAAGCTAAACTATAGGACGTAGACCAGCTCGTCCCGTAGAAAAGCTTCTTTTCTCAAGAACATCCGGGGAAATAGAAACAGAAATTCCAGAGAAAAGGTTCCAAGGCTCTGACGGAGAGCTCACAGCCTCTCAGCCTCACAGCAATCAGAGGGAAAACAACCCTGAGGTTTTCAAAGAATTCTCTGAGGGAGGACAGCACTACAGACGCTTTACTAGAAGCGTCTATTCACAAGCGACTACATGTTGATAATGAAAGATGGCGACTAACAAAGTACAAGACTAAACATACAGGCAAATAAAACATCCTGCCCTTCCGGCAGGTTAACTCCCTTTTTGTTCTCTGGGCAAAAGAATTTCTGTTATCTCAGTCTCAAGGACTTTTACTCTCACTGCCTCTAGTGACTACAATTCTAGCACACAGCTGAACATAACTGAATCCATCTTTGAAATACAATACTAACACATTGCAATACTAACACATTGAAAAACATATATGTGAAATAACTACAACTATCCTGACAAGATCCATGGAACTCCATCTGAAATATCTACAAGCCTCGGCTGGTAGGTCTACTCGATACTCAGACGCATTTGGAATCAGTAGTAGGACCCACACCGATGAGGCATAGATGGTAAATAGCCTGGGAGAGGTTAAATAGGGTTTTTTTTCCTACAGAGAAAGTACAGTTAATTAAAGTCAGGAACCAGTCCATTGAGGACTAGACTAAGAAAGCCTTGAAGTGTTGTTTGAACCATTGAAGATTTGTTGTTTGTTCCATAATAAAGACTTTGTTGTATCATTAAAGACTCTGAAGACCATTACTTCAGAAAAATCCCTGAGAACCTCTCTTTAAGGCCCCCTGGCTTCCCGCTGGGCTTAAAGTATACGTCCTAAAGAAAAGACACCTGCTACAGGCCCAGCGCGCGACAGAACAGTGTGCAAGTCTAGAACACTTAATCCTTCAAGATCTTCAGCTGATTCATAATGCACCTAAGCATTATAAGCCAGGAAAATAGGCCTGGGCAATCCATGGTTCTAAATGGTTCTAAAGTACTTACAAAACTAAAGAGTTTTGTAAGTACTTTAGAACCATTTAGAACCATGGATTGCCCAAGCCTACAGGAAAACTCATGTTCTGAGTCTTGGATACATGCCACTAACATTAGATTGTAAGTTCACGGCTGAACCATTTTTTTCCCTCAACACCACATTGACGAAATGCAGGCATAAGGTGAAATGTAGCCTTTTTCATACAGAGGCTGCAAGGTATCTCCCAGAATCCCTCACCACAGAAAGCTTACAGGACACTGGATGCCCAAGAGAAGGTTGATGCAAACAGCATTTTTTTTAGCATATCATTTTTTTACCTGGAACATCTCATTGATTCCCTCGCCCGTTTGTGCAGAGGTCTCAAAATAAAGGAAGCCCCTGCTTTCTGACCACAGCCGGCCTTCACTTTCATCCACACAGCGGAGCTTGGAACAGTCAATCTGAAACAGAAATGGAAAAAATGGAGCTAGTGCTTTCTGCCAGGACTGTTGTTGCTGAGGAGGATGATGGGATTCAGATTCCTGGCTCTTTTTCTGTGCTTCAGATATCTGGGCCTGCTTCTAGGTCTTTTTCTGAGGCTCCCACAGACAGTGCAGAGTCAACACAGCGGTTCTCAGAAGAAAAGAATTTTAACGAAGTAGATAGCGAACAGATGGAGAGGCCTTTGCCTCCTTCCCACACTGATAGTGAAAGTGCAGAAAGCCTTGATAGTGACCTGACCCGGCAGGCCCGTCTTGATTTCCGGGTCAGGCGGAGTTCTCGCCTGGCCAGCAGACGAGAAGACAGCTCGGGGAAAGGTCATCGCAATGCTTTCATGTTGATGAGAGCATAATGTTTTCATGTTAGAAAGGTATTTAGGCTTCTTGCAAACGAAGAGAAAGCGTCAGTTCAACGTAGCTTATTAGCCTGGAAACTTCATGGAATAACCTTAGCTGGAAAGCAACATGCTTGGGATTTTTTGCATTGTGATTCTTGGGGCAATTATTTCATTACTTGTACCTTGGACTATGTTTTGAACTTTGCTTACAGGATTGTGCCTCTTGTTTTTACCTGAAGATCTGTGGAACTATATTCTGCATTTAACCTACATCTTTGGAACTTTGCATTGCTTATTCTTTATTTTTACTTGGACTTTTCCCTCAACAAACTATAAAACTACAGCTCTTGTGTGGTGGTGTTTGGAAGCAAGGCAAAGCTTACTCTGAGTTGCAACAAGGACCAACATTGCAAGCAAGGAAATTATTACACCTTATTTCCTCTTAGAAATAGTTACCTTGTTGGCACAAACCACAAAGACAATGTTCTCCATGTTGCCATGCGGTCCGAGTTCCTGCTTCATCTCAGCAAGCCATGAATCAAGAGCATCAAATGACTCCTTCTGCCCAACATCATATACTAGGATTACACCTTGGGTGTCTTTATAGAATTCATTGCGGACCTAAATAGAGCAGAGAAATGAAGCCAGTGAACATCGATCCCGCCAGCGTCACAAACACGTTTGTTGGGGACAAAAGGCAGGGCCTTCTCAGTGGTGGCCCGTCGGCTATGGAACACCCTTCCTGGGGACATTAGATTGGCCCCCTCCCCCTTAACATTTCAGAAAAGAGTCAAGACTTGATTGTTTGAGCAAGCATTTGAAAAAGCAAGGTAAAAGACTGAGGAATTAGAACTGGACGGCGAGATGGGACAGTTTTTTATTAAGAGACGCAAATGATCTATGTTTTAATATTCTTGTTATGGTTTTATATTATGTGTTAATGTTTTTAAATGTTTTATGGTGTTTTGGGGCATTGAATCGTTGCCACTGTAAACCGCCCTGAGTCACCTGAGCGCTGAGAAGGGCGGTATACAAATACAGTAAATAAATAAATAAATAAACAAACATTATTGAACAATATTTATTTATTTACCTTATTTATTTCAGCCCAAAGGCGACTCACAGCAGTTCACAACAAATACGAACAGCAAAAATTCTGTGCTACAGTATAGAAACAGTTAACAACCTAACACATTACACAATTAATAAACAGTTACTACAATACCCATTCATTGTCGTCTCGTCATCAAAAACATGTTCCAGATTCGTCATCCATTATTCCATTCCAGTGTTCATTAACCAATCATTGCACTAATTATTCGAACGCCTGCTCAAACAGCCAGGTCTTCACTTTTTTGCGGAATACCATTAGAGATGGTGCTAGTCTAATGTCCGTAGGAAGGGCGTTCCACAGCCGAGGAGCCACCACCGAGAAGGCCCTATCTCTCGTCCCCGCCAGCCGAGCTTGAGAAGCAGGCGGGATCGAGAGCAGGGTCTCCCCGGAAGATCTCAAAGTCCTGGTGGGTTCATAGGCAGAGATGCGGTCGGATAGGTAGCTTGGGCCGGAACCGTTTAGGGCTTTAAAGGCCAACGCCAGCACTTTGAATTCAATAGGATGCTCCATGGGTAAAGGAATCACAGCCACCATCAATCAACAGTGAGGGAGCCTGGGATTTGTTGATCCCTTGTGTCCAAAGGTGCCTGCTTAGGCATTTTCAATACTTAAGTATAATTTATATTATAATTTATTTTAAGAATTAATGTCAACAATATTAATTATATTTAATTATATATTAATATTATTATTTTGTAATTCAATGCATCAATTGAGTGTTGCCATGGTAAATGTGTCTGTCTGGCAAATGATCTTCACTAGAGCTTATTTTTGGGATTGGACTGCTATTATGAACATATTGAAAAATCATGTTAGGGTTTATTTTCTGGTGATATTCTTTTTTAGAGAAACGGTTCTGACCCAACTTACATGTCCAAATGCATCTCCCCTTAAGATCGTCTGGGGAGGCCCTGCTCTCGTTACTGCCTTCGTCGCAAGTACGTTTGGCAGAGACGAGAGACAGGGCCTTCTCGGGGATGGCCCCTCGGCTGTGAAACACCCTTCCTATAGATAATAGATCGGCCACCTACCTTTTAACATTCCGGAAAAAAGTAAAGATATGGCTTTTTGAACAAGCGTTTGCCAAGTAACTGACACAGGAAAATGGAATGATTAGACAATGAGTCCGGACAACATTTTTAACAAGGAGACACTATGAATTTATATTTTACTAGCTGTACCCGCCACGTGTTGCTGTGGCCAACCTTCCCTCCCTCTTTCTCTCCTCCTTTCTTTCTCTCCTTGCTTCCCTTTTTTTCTTTCATTCTCTTCTTCCTTCCTTCTCTTCCCTTCTTTCCCCCCTTATCTTTCCCTTCCTCTTTCTCCCCGTTCTTCCTTCTCTACCTATTCTTGGACTGCAACTCCCAGCAGTCCTCCTGATCAATCTATCTACCTACCTACCTCCATATCTACCTTATCTATCTGGAGAATTGCTGGGAGTTGCAGTCCAGAAATAGGAAACTGGAAATATGTATGGATTGGGGATGATTTCAAGTCCAAGGAGAAGAAAGCCTGGAGCTTGGAAGCAGTAAATCTCTGCATCCATGCCCTGCTTTCTCATTTACCTCATAGAAGAAGGGGTGTCCAGCCATGTCAAAGATATTCACTTTGATTTCTCTGTCTCGGACCTGCACTCTGAAGAGAAGGGAGACACTGGAATCAGGCATACCAAAGACTTTCTCATCTATACTGTACCAAGTTTGAGATACATATAGATAAAAATCAAAGCATGTTCCTACGTTCCGCCTCGTAGTTTAAGATCCACCGGGGAGTCACTGCTCTCGGTCCCACCAGCCTCGCAAATGTGTTTGGTGGGGACGAGGGACAGAGCCTTCTCGGTGGTGACCACCCACTTGTGGAACTCGCTCCCCAGCGAGATTAGATGGGCGTCCTCCCTCCTTTCCTTTAGGAAAAAACCTACAACAACCCAGTGATTCCAGCCATGAAAGCTTTCGACAATACAATAAAATAATTGATGGATCTGGACCAAACTTGGCATACATTCTCCTCGTTATCTAACTTAAAAGATTGAGACGTTGAATTTAAAGAACCCCCCCATTTCTGGCCGAGAGTTAAAGGAAAGAAAAGGGAAAAAATAGACTGGATGACTAGGCAAATTGGCCTTCTGTAATGTGAAAGGGAACAAAGCGCATTGGCTGCTACTAGGTGATATGTGGGTGAGCGGAATGGAGAAAACTATGAAGGGAAGGAAGGAAAGAAAAAGAAAGGAAGAGAAAGTAAGGAAGGAAAAGATGAGAGGGGAGGGGAAAAAGAAAAACAAGAGAAGAGAAAGGAAGGAAAGTATGAGGGAAAGCAAGGGAAGAAGGAAAGCAAGGAAGGAAAGCGAGAGGGACAAAACAGCAAACAAAATGCAAACCTAGGCAACAATGGATATATATATTCACTACTTTTCTATGGCACAAAGAGAGGCATGGCCGTGTTCTGAATCCCCAACACAAGTGAATATTGATATGTATATTTAGGGCTTGATAAAAAGTTTCAGAATTAATTTGCAAAGAGAATTAAGGCAAACGTATGCAAAGGGACATCCACAAAAGCTATTTCTGCCAATATCATTGCACCAAAATAATGAATGACTGCAGTAGAAGACCAAGTTTTATGTCTTTCTTCCCCACACAGACACAGGTTAGCTGGGTTCTCATCCTATTTTCAGGAAATGTTATATGTAATTGCAATATATTGCAAAAGGATGGTACTTACTTGGTGACACCATAATCAATGCCGATTGTTGCAAGGTATTTCGGCACAAACCGTTTCTCACAGTAGCGCTTTATAATGCAGCTCTAAAAAAAACAACAAAAGAACAGTAAATATTATCAAAAGTGCTCAACAGACTACTGAGCTCAAAGGAAGCTGTCTCCTGCAGGGCTAATTGCTAGATACACCTTTTAAAATATACGCTTCTTACTTGTCTCTGAGACTATTAAGCTTGAAACAAATTCAAGTAATTACAGTAATTTTCATTGACTTCTAAACAATGAAAACCAAGGCAGATCTTGCCCTACTATATATTATTTATATATTATATATTATATTAACTACAACAGAAACACAAATTAAAATACATTGCATTTCAATAATTAAAACAATAAAACCAAACAACAGACATCTTAAAAACGTAAGAACAACAATAACCATCAGCCAGTAGCCGAGAACAATGGGTGTGTTCAGATCTAGGATGATGGGACTAGCTCTAGTGCAATACAGCTGTAAGAGTGAGTGGGTAATAAAGTGCTACAAGTTCAGACAATGAGTTAGGGCTAGAGGGGCCTAGTCAATAGATGAACAGATTAAGCAAAGGCAAGTTGAAACATCCAAGGTTTCAGGTCTTTATGGAAGGTGGACAGGGTGGACACTAATCTAATCTCCCTAGAGAGAATTGCAGAGCCGGGGGCCACCACCAAGAAGGCCCTCCTCCTTGTTCCCACCATCCATGGGTTACTATGGGGAATACCATTGCTTTAACTATGTTGATTTTCGTTGCCAGTGTGATTTCTCTACTCTTATTATATTTAACTATTTTATAACAATATAAATATTTACCTATGTTATTTATATATATATACACACACACACACACACACACACACAATATTATATTATATAATGGGGTGAGGTCTGCTTTGGTGGGCAATTGATAAAATGTAATTATTATAATAAATATATAGGCTAGGACACTAAGATCATCTGGGGAGGCCCTGCTCTCTGTCCCGCCTGCATCACAGGCGCGCTTGGCGGGGACGAGAGACAGGGCCTTCTCAGTGGTGGCCCCTCGGCTGTGGAACGCCCTGCCTGCAGATATCAGATCGGCCCCTCCCTGCTGGCGTTTCGGAGGAAAGTGAAGACCTGGCTGTTCAAACAAGCATTTGATTAAACAGTGTAATTGAACATAGGAATACAGAATAATGGATGATGAGACTGGATCCTGATTTTACTGTTGAGGCGCTAATGATTGTTATATGGATGTTTAATGATTTATGTTACAATTGTTTTTAATTGCCCTATACTTGTCTTGTGATGTTTTGTATTGATGTTGTTCACCGCTTTGAGTCGCCTGAGGGCTGAGAAAAGCGGTATATGAATAAAGTATATGTGTGTATGTATATATATATATATATATATATATATGTATGTATGTATGTATGTATATATTATAGTGGGTGGAGGTCTGCTTTGTTTTTGGCTGGCAATTTGTAATAATTATAATACATACATTATAATGCTCAAACTTCCGTACAGTGGCGCTTACTTCTCATGCCAGTAAGGTAATGCTCAAGATCCTGCAAGGAAGACTCCAGCAATACATGGAGCGAGAGTTGCCAGATGTTCAAGCTGGGTTTAGAAAAGGCAGAGGAACAAGAGACCAGATTGCCAATATCCGCTGGATAATGGAGAAAGGCAGGGAGTTTCAGAAAAACATCTATTTCTGCTTCATTGACTATTCTAAAGCCTTTGACTGTGTGGATCATAATAAATTGTGGCAAGTTCTTGGTGGATGGGCATACCAAGCCACCTTGTCTCTCTCCTGAGGAATCTGTACAAGGACCAAGTAGCAACAGTAAGAACTGACCACAGAACAACAGACTGGTTCAAGATTGGGAAAGGCGTACGGCAAGGCTGCATACTCTCACCCAACCTTTTTTAACTTGTATGCAGAACACATCATGCGAGGATGTGCGGGGCTTGATGAATGCAAGGCTGGTGTGAAAATGGCTGGAAGAAACATTAACAACCTCAGATATGCAGATGACACCACTCTGATGGCCGAAAGCGAGGAGGAGCTGAGGAGCCTTCTAATCAAGGTGAAAGAAGAAAGCGCAAAAGCCGGTTGCAGCTAAACGTCAAAAAAACCAAGATTATGGCAACAAGAATGATTGACAACTGGAAAATAGAGGGAGAAAATGTGGAGGCCGTGACAGGGTTTGTATTTCTAGGTGCAAAGATGAGTGCAGATGCAGACTGTGGCCAGGAAATCAGGAGACGCTTCCTTCTTGGGAGGAGAGCAATGTCCAATCTCGATAAAATAGTAAAGAGTAGAGACATCACACTGGCAACAAAGATCCTGCATAGTCAAAGCCATGGTATTCCCTGTAGCAACCTACGGATGTGAGAGCTGGACCTTAGGGAAGGCTGAGCGAAGGAAGATCGATGCTTTTGAGCTGTGGTGTTGGAGGAAAGTTCTGAGAGTGCCTTGGACTGCGAGAAGATCCAACCAGTCCATCCTCCAGGAAATAAAGCCCGACTGCTCACTGGAGGGAAGGAGACTAGAGACAAAGTCGAAGTCCTTTGGCCACATCATGAGGAGACAGCAAAGCCTAGAGAAGACAATGATGCTGGGGAAAGTGGAAGGTAAAAGGAAGAGGGGCCGACCAAGGGCAAGATGGATGGATGGCATCCTTGAAGTGACTGGACTGACCTTGAAGGAGCTGGGGGTGGTGACGGCCGACAGGGAGCTCTGGCGTGGGCTGGTCCATGAGGTCACGAAGAGTCGGAGAAACGAATGAACAACAACAATCATTATAACATATGTATATACATGTAATATATATCTACAATGCATACATTAAGCATGAAGCCCTGTTCCTTCTGCTTTTCTCCCTTCCCAGAAGCCTTTGCGCTTCCCTTTCTCAACTAAGAGCCCATTCAAAGACATCAACATCAGCCAGATCCGAGGGCGGCGCCTGATTGGCGGCCCCGCCTGCCACTCCGCCCACGGGGACCAATGAGAGCGCTCCTCCCGCCTTCTCCATTGAGAGCGCATTCCCCACCTCAAAGACATCAAAAACGGCCAGACCTGAGGACGGCTCCTGATTGGCGGCCCCGCCTGCCACTCCGCCCACGGGGACCAATGGGAGCGCTCCTCCCGCCTTCTCCATCGAGAGCGCATTCCCCACCTCAAAGACATCAAAAACGGCCAGACCTGAGGGCGGCGCCTGATTGGCGGCTTCGCCTGCCACTCCGCCCACGTGGGCCAATGGCAGCGCTCCTCCCGCCTTCTCCATAGAGAGCGCATTCCCCACCTCAAAGACATCAAAAACGGCCAGACCTGAGGACGGCTCCTGATTGGCGGCCCCGCCTGCCACTCCGCCCACGGGGACCAATGGGAGCGCTCCTCCCGCCTTCTCCATCGAGAGCGCATTCCCCACCTCAAAGACATCAAAAACGGCCAGACCTGAGGACGGCTCATGATTGGCTGCCCCGCCTGCCACTCCGCCCACGGGGACCAATGGGAACGCTCCTCCCGCCTTCTCCATAGAGAGCGCATTCCCCACCTCAAAGACATCAAAAACGGCCAGACCTGAGGACGGCTCCTGATTGGCGGCCCCGCCTGCCACTCCGCCCACGGGGACCAATGGGAACGCTCCTCCCGCCTTCTCCATAGAGAGCGCATTCCCCACCTCAAAGACATCAAAAACGGCCAGACCTGAGGACGGCTCCTGATTGGCAGCCCAGCCTGCCACTCCGCCAGCGGGGCCAATGGGCGCGCTCTGCGCCTGTGCTCACCTTCCCCGCCTCCGCGTTGCCCATGGAGATGACTTTGATCCGCAGCGCCTTCCGCGGCTCCCTGCGCTTGGCCTCCATTCCCGGGGAAGCAGAAGGAAAGGAGCCGGGCCTTCCTTCTCGGGTCTCGGCCCAGGCCCAGGATTCCCGCACCACAGCGCCAGGCAGGCCCGAACCACAGCGCCTCCAATCTCCCCGATCTCGCGAGAGTTGCATCAGATACCCTCCCCTTTGGCCAGAGCCACCCAGTCTCGCGAGACTTCTAGAATCCTCGCATAGAACGGCCAAGAACAATCTGCACTCTGTCCCATTCTCGCGAATGTTGCCAAATCTCGCGAGATTGAACCAAAGCAGACAATTCTTTCCAGGGTTATGAGTCAATGCACACAAATTGCAAAATTAATGCTGTCTGGATATCAGTTTAATTTGCAATAGCTGAAATGTAATGGAATCCAGGGAATGATACAATTCCCTGCAATCCATAACTATCAGCCCTGGTAGTTAAACTGGTATCAAACTGCATTAACCCTGCAGTGTAGATGCAACCGTACGTTCATTGCTAAAGCAATACTCCATCAATTTTTGGTCACCTCCAGGTTGGATTACTGCAATGCGCTCTACGTGGGGCTGCCCTTGAAGACGGCTCGGAACCTCCAACTGGTCCAACGATCAGCAGCCAGGATGTTAACGGGGGCCCCTTACAGAGAGAGGTCAACCCTCCTGCTTAAGGAACTCCACTGGCTGCCGTTTATATTCCGAGCCCAATTTAAGGTGCAGGTGCTTACCTACAACGCCCTGAACGGTTTGGGACCAGCCTACCTGCGTGACTGCATTTCCATCTACGAACCCACACGTTCTCTTCGGTCATCTGGAGAGGCCCTGCTTGTGATCCCACCAGTGTCGCAGGCGCGCTTGGTGGGGACGCGGGACAGGGCCTTCTCCGTAGTGGCCCCCCAACTCTGGAACACCCTCCCCAAAGACCTTAGACAGGCCCCTACATTGGCTATCTTCAGAAAGAACTTAAAAACCTGGCTTTTCCGATGCGCCTTCCCAGATTAGAAAATCTCCACTACCGAGTCCCACAAGCACTTTACCAGAACCAATGATTGCTTCACATCGCACTTGCCCTATTAATCCTCTATACACCTCCTGTCAAATCAGCACTTTTAATCCTTGTACCCACCTTTTGGCCTGGCCCAGTTTTATTGTGTTTTAATGTACTATGCTTGTTGGTTGTTTTGCTTTAACTTGTTTTAATTGTTTGATTTGCTTGATTGTATTGTTATGTTGTATTGTTGTGGCCTCGGCCTGTTGTAAGCCGCATCGAATCCTCTGGGAGATGCTAGCGGGGTACAAATAAAGTTTAATAATAATAATAATAATAATAATAATTTACACAAATGATCAGCCGCTGCCAGAAGGGACAGAGAGTTTAATCTATGCTGACGATCGTGCCATCACTGCCCAAGCAGGGAGCTTTGAGATGGTTGAACAGAAGCTCTCCAAAGCTTTTGGTGCTCTTACTGCCTATATCATCATCATCATTATTGCTCCATCAGTGTTCAACATTTACACAAATGATCAGCCACTGCCAAAAGGGACAGAGAATTTAATCTATGCTGACAATCATGCCATCACCACCCAAGCAGGGAGCTTTGAAATGGTTGAAAAGAAGCTCTTCAAAGCTTTTGGTGCTCTTAC